GGAACTAGAGCAAGTTAGTGTTATCTGTAGAAAGCTACTTTTTTACATATCTACCAGGCTGGTTGCTCCTTGGGATGCTTGTCAAATTAAGCAAGCTAATGCTAATGACGTCACTGCTTCTGCAGCATAACATATAAGGCCCTCTCTTACTGGGGATGGAAGCAGAACTGAAGACACTACTACGGAAAGGATGCATGTCACTCATCTAGCCAGCCATCAATGGACATCAGACCTTAGGGAGAGGGGACACTGCTTGGCAAAGTATCTTGAGGGATGGAGGTGCTATCTGTCAGCCTGTTGCCACTGGCAGACTTCTTTGGGCAGTCTTCCATTTCTTACAAGCTTTTCCTAATAAACCATGTTTTCCATGCTGTCTCTGGGCACTTTATTCAGCTTTCCCACAACCTACACCACTGTGCTGGCACAACTGGGTTGTGACAAGACAGTAGTAAGCCTCTTTATAAAAATGAGCATAGTTTTTACCTTTGAAAAACATTCTAGCTGTTTACAACACCCAGAATGAAACAACTACCTGCAATAGTCTGGGCATTTGATAGAAATTTAGAATCTCTGGCATCCTACCCAGATCTATTAAATCAAAATATGCATCATAAGTTGGCCCCCAGCTAATATGTGCACCCATTAAAATTTCAGAAGTGGGACTGGGGTTGTAGCTCAGGGGTAGAGCAGTTGCCTAACATAGGTGAGGCACTGGGGTCATTTTCAGTGCACATAAATAAATGAATAAAATAAAGAGGTCCATCAACAACTGAAAAAATATTTTAAAATTTTCAGAAGCATTGCTTTAACCTACAATGATCAAATTGGGGCTCCTGTATACCAAGAATGTCTCACATTGTAAGTTGTTCTTGCAGCTGGCAGGGATTGGCACTGAAGCAACAAAACATTCAATGTTATGTTCCCTTTGTGGCAGGAAGTGGTATAGTCTATGGTCACAAAAGAGAGCAACTCTTCAGAGTGAAACTTTTGCCTCCTTAGCAACTAATTTAAGCAGTCAAACAGCCACAGGCTTCTCTTCCATTAACCTCCTTGGCAACTCCATACTTTTCTTCTCTAACTCTACAAGGAACTTTGAGGAGCCAAGCTCAATTAGACTCCTCTCAAGGACTTCCTCTCAAAAAATTAATGCAAAGAAACATTCTCCTAAACACTCCAGAGGCTGCCAGGAAGGAACAGAGGGGAGGAGTGAGATCGCTGGAACCAGACCTCTATGAAGTGATAACTTAATTCAAACCGCAGAACTTCATTTGAGCTGATCATTCACAAGTTAAAAATAGAAGTAGCCAATATGTGGTCAAAGTCTGAACTTCTTAAAAACACTTCTGAGATGTTGGCAAATTCTCCATCCAGGCAGATATTTAAAAGCATGGTGGGTTGCTTTTGTTGTTCTGCTTTTTGTATTTTCCCCAATCCATTGGTTTGCTGAGGAAGTGGCCACCATCCAGATGCAATTGAATGCAAATCCCCAAGGTTTCCAGCTGAGATGGGAATGTAGTAATGAAACAAATGCATTTCAGAGAAACAAAAAAGTTTGCAAAGATATCTGTTTGGGATTTTTAAATGAAGGTCAAATTATTCTTAGTTTTGACAAAAGCAAAGCCTAGCAAAAATATGAGCCTGAATATATCCAAGTATGGGAACAGGGTGAGAAATCCTTTCTGTATTTCATCTGGGCAAGGAAGCCTAGCAAACATGCAGCAACAGCATCAATTATCGACAGAGTAGAAGGATATGAAGAAGCTCATCTTTCTGTTCTGGTAAGGGAAGGGTTTCTGTATTCTTATGAGACAGGGGCAAAGACAGATAGCTGATTATCAAAGAAAAGAAAAGAAATACAACTTGCCCATCAACCAGTTGCTAACATCTCCAAGGGAGGGGAAGGATCCCACTTTCTAACACAAATAATTACCCCCTGGAGCTACTCTTTCCTGCCTTTTGGGCATATGGACAGAAAGATAGGCGGTGGGGGTCCATAAAAATGCAAGACACCACCAGTCCCAGGGATACCAACTATGGGTTCCCTTCCCTTCTTGGAGAAGTCTGTTTCTGTTCTATTTAAATAAAATTTGTTTTCTTGCCTTGGCATTTCTCAGGTGTTTAATCTTCAATACTTGGGAATGAGGACCCCATCCTAATCTGCAAGACCGGTATAATTTATAGAAGATGGTTATTTGGAGATTTCCCCTTAGGTCTCTGGAGACCAAGAATTTCCCCCAAGAATTCATGCTCCACATGCAAGGGGACAGCATGCAAGGGACTCCAGAGACCTTCTGGAGTGATAGAAGTATTCTACATTTTGAATGTGGTTCTGGCTACACACCCTGCATTCAAAATGCACTGCAAGATACAACTAAATATTATCTTACATTGGGCTTTGGTTGGAAAGAAAGATCTCTAGGTTTGAGCCCAGGAAGTGGACTGAACAATTACCACAGTCAATTCACAAGAAGTTAGGGATGGAGTTCTTACAACACTGATTAAGACACTTGAGTCTTAAAAAATTATGTAGCTTGCCCAAATCACACTAACAAAAAACAAACTCAAGCTCATGTCTTTTCCATTCAATTTGACTATCTTTGACCCCAAAGTAGTCCTTTTACAAACATGGACATGTCTCTACATTTTAATTTGGTTTGGGTAATGATAAATGCTCATAGAAATGTAATAGTTTTGGAGATTTTTGCATATAAGTGTTGGGTGTCTCTCTCAGTTTCAATTTCCTGAAGCCACTGTAACAAATTATCACAAACTTGGTGAATTCAGACAACAGAAAAGTTTTTCTCTCCCAGTTCAGGAGACCAAAAACTCAAAGCCAAGGTATTGGCAGAGTCTCATTCCCACCAAAGGTTCTCAAGGACAGTCCTTTCCTTATCTCTTCCTGATTCTGATGGCTACCAGTATTCCTTGGTTCATGGCTGGATCCAATCTCTGCCTCTGTGTTCCCATGGCCTCCTCTCTTCTCTCTGTGTGTCTCTTGCAGGGACACTTGTCATTGGATGCAGGGTCCACCCAGAGAACTCAGGAAGGTTTTAACTTGAGCTCTGTTTTATGCAGGTTGTGCATCACTGTGATCAAAATACCTGACAGGAACAATTTAGAGAAGAAAAAGTTTCTTTTGGCTCACAGTCTCAGAGATTCAGTCCATGGTCAGCCGCCCCTATAGCTCTGGAAGGGAGACAAGCACGACATCATGGTGGAAGGGTGTGGCAGAGGTAAGCAGTTCAGGACATTGCAACCAGGAAGCAGAGAAAGCAAGGATCCAGGGAGAAAAAATATAAATCCCAAAGTCACAATGTCAGTGACTTTTTAGTCCAGTCACGTCCTACCTGCCTACAGTAACCACTCAGTTATGCCACTCACTCAACTGGTTTAATCCACAGATTAGGTTACATCTCTGTTAGTCTAGTTATTTCTCCTCTGAATATTCTTGCATTGTCTCACACATGAACTTTTGGGGGATACCACATACCCAAACCATAATAAACTCCTTAACTTACATGTGAGAAAACCCTTTTGCCAAATAAAGTCACATTCACCAGTTCTGAGGTTTTAAACCTGAACGTAACTTTTTGTGGACCATTCCACAAACCATGAGGTAAGACATACAAAAGGAACCTACCTATCAAAGAACACAAATGAGAAATCACATCAGTCCAGGTCAAAACAAATGAGGTGAGGGTTAGGGATGTAGTTTGGAAGCAACGTGCTTGACTAGCATGGGGGATCCATCCCCAGGATCAGAAAAACAATAAATAAATAAAAGTGTATAAATAAAAGTATATATATGCAAAGAAAATGCTTTCTGATTTTATTTCCAAATTCATGCACTAATTAGTTAAAAAGAAAACAGCTCTTTAACATTATCAGCAGCATTTATGAGAACAGCTACCATATGGCTGTTTGACACATCCAAAAATATGATTGTGTCTAGAATGTAGAGCCTGGTTCATTTAAATTTATTATATTAGGCTGGGCGCAGTGGTGCATGCCTGTAATCCCAGAGGCTCGGGAAGCTGAGACAGAAGGATTGGGAGTTCAAAGCCAGTCTCAGCAACTTACTGAGGCACTAAGCAACTCAGTGAGACACTGTCACTAAACAAAATACAAAATAGGGCTGGGGATGTGGCTCAGTGGTTGAATGCCCTTGAGTTTAATTTCCAGTACAAAATATGTATGTGTGTGTGTGTGTGTGTGTGTGTATATATATATATATATATGCACATACACATACATATATATATGCATATATATACATATATAGAGATATATAGATACATAGATTAGATTCGATTTTTGTTGCAAATATTAAAAACATACTTGTTATAATAAGCCAAAAAATACAGAGATTGATAAAGAACAGGTAACTGCAATCTCCTGAGGTAATCAATATCAACAGTTTAGTATGTGTCTTTCTCAGTGTTTCTCTAAATGTATATAAACACTTATAATGCAATGAGTGGTCACTGGTTTTATAAAAACACAACCAAATAAAATATGTAATTTGTTTGCTTCATTTAACAATAGATTAGTGACATCACAAGCAGCTGAATGTATGTAGATTTACTTACCTTCCACTTTCAATCTAAAGTATAAATGTAGTGCCATTTACTCAGCTGCTCCTCAAGTGATATATATTTGAGTGATTTTTCAGGTTTTACCATGCAACGCTGCAATATACACCCTTGTGACTGCAGACTGTTTTAATTTTTGTCATCACAAATTCTTGAGCCTAGAAACATAACGTTTCCAATGCTTCTTCTAAATCCCAACCTCCCTGTCAATCAGAGACCAGTGCTGAAGGGAGCCTGAAGTCAGGTGCTAAAATGGGTAATTATTCCGCACAGCACATGGCCAGCAGACATCTGCTACAATATTTACGTCCTATTCCATTGAGATGGCACTCTCTGCTCACATGACCCAAATGCAGTTCGCACTCCACCAGGAACACTGCCGAATGCAGTCTGCATCGGAAGCTTTGCACATGCTCTGTCTGGCCCTGTGAATCTTCACTCACCCATTGAGATTTCTGATGGTTTAAAGCTACATTCCAGCTGCTGAAGCTCTGTAACCTGCTGCGGTTTCCTGGCCTGGATCCAAGGCAGGTGGCCTCCACAGATACTGTTTTTTTAAAAATTTGGGCTGTTTTATTGATCTGTTTGGGGTAGAGGGTGCATAATACTTACACACATGTATAGCCAGTGAATGAGGCTGTAAGAGTAACTCTTTTCCTGGCAGGAGGAATATTTACCTATTTTCATCATTTTGCCTTGATAACAACCTGCAGCTCTGATGTATCCTCAATTCTCCAATAGGGGTCTTGGCCAGCGATACCACATCTCACTGTTGTGTTGACTGCAATGTGCGAGATGGTGTTTTCTACTCTCTAGAGACCTGGATGTTGTTTGCCACTCTGATGATGAGACAGGCTACCATGGATTTCAGCACCTCTTCTGTGTTCGATCAGCAAAAAGGTAAAATGCTGCTTTAATACATTCTTTGGTTCTTAGCATCTTTAGTTTGTGGTTGCAAGGAGGGAGGGGTGTGTGTGTGTGTGCTCTGAATGGTCACTTCTAATTTGAAGCATTTGGAAGAAAAAAAGAAGCTTATGGTCTGTCTTATTGAAGTATTCCTACCACAAATTTTAAAAACTGGGTTTCAAGCATACTGTTTCAGATAGTGTCATCTTCATTCTGTTTTTTTTTAAATCCTTAAAAAATATGTTAGAGAAAGTAATATAAGGAGAATACATCACATCTCTCTTTCCTATCTGTTAACCTCATGTCTTATTGCTATAGCTTCATAAGCACCTCTTGATTCCCTTCAGGAACAGAGGTCACCCACACATACTTTGGGTTGATACAATATCTCCTCTGAGATTACACCCTGACTTGTCACTATGTCATCACTTGCAATGACAGAGTGTAACTTCCTTACTCATAATTTCCAGATTGGAGATAATTTTCTACACGAAAAGGTTGCTATGAAATTAACTCCCCCTTATGATAAGCATGTATGTAGCCATATGGTCTATAGATGTCCATTTTGTATACATAGTAAGCATTTATATATGTTATGTGTGATTATATATCTGTTCTATGTATGTGTAGGAAATTTCCCTTCTTTAAATTTAATAAATATAGTTTAGAATCTTTTTTAAGTATCTGATATCTAAATCCCTTTCTACAATCCCTGAGTATTCTTCAAGGTCCTAAATTCCTTTGGTGATTTCACTGTTTTTGCCACAACAGGAAATGGTGGTTTGTGAAAGCATCATTAAGAAAAGTCATTGCTTCTTTTCCCCATTAGCTGCCCAGGCTATAGTGTCTACTACCCCTCAATCTATAGCTGGATTCAGGGGTGAATTATTTGAACTCAGTGAGTATCTCAAATAATTTATATTTGGATTTCAGGGTTAACAAATGTATATCTACATATAGTGTATTTCCAACTCATTTGAATAGTGTGTGTGTGTGTGTGTCTACATTCAAAGTGTGCTACTTCCCATTGCGTTTGGATATAAGCACCATAGAAAAAGGGATTATTACAGCTCTGCCCAACACCACCCTTTCTCCTTTGTACATTTTGTACCACTGATGGCAATCAGCAAAAGTGAAAATCTCCTTAGAACCAAAACACTCACACTGGCTAAAAAAATGACGTTGTTGAGCCATGTAATCCAAAGTAACACAATAGGTTTATTTTTGAAAACTAATTTGAGGAAACTGGGACTGACTGCAGAAGAGCTAGCCTTTTATTATGAATTCATGTGTTCCAGTGCAGTACCTTCTAACAGCAATGAGCTCAAAACGCAGCTAAAATATTAATTTGGAATATTTATTTTCTTATAACTTCTCATATGAGCAATTCATAGCAATTCCTCCACCTTAGGCCTGATTGACTCCCACGAAAGTTAACCCTTTCCTTGCTATCTCTATTTCTATTTCTTAATCCTTTCTCTCTTTCTAAAGATAGGGTGAAAATAGCAGGGGCTTCTAAATCCTACAGACATAGGTCAGAATGGCAGATAGCTACTACTTCTTAGCTGTGTAATCTTGGCAAGTTACCTAACCTCTTTGGTCCTTAGTTTCCTCAACAATCAAATGAAAGAAATGATTCCTAAGTATCAGGATTGCTGTGAGGTTCTCAAATAATACATAAGAAGCCCCTGTCACATTGTCTGATGTGCAGTAAGTATTTCCAATTCATGCTGGTGCTGTTGTTACATTACCACCTCGGACAGGGATTCTCTCAAATGCAAAATACTGTACACCTCCTGCTTCCATTTAGCAGTCCTCAGCCCTGAGTTAGTGCTAGGTGGCTAGGTTACATTCATTATTTTTTTCAGAACCCCAGGGTACCATTTAGAGCAAGCTCTAGAGTAATAATCAACAAAATGATACCTGAATAGTTTCATTATTTCATTAATCCTTCCTCTGTCTTATTTATTTTGAAAATTATACATAATACTGGATCCCTTTTGCCATATTTATACATGCACATAACATAATTTGACCAATCTCAAGTTATGAATTTGGAGTACCTTTCCTTTTCCTCCCCTCTTTCCTTCCCCATCCACTTGCTCTACTCTACTGATCTCCCTTCTATTGTTGTTACTGTTATTTTAACTAGTGCATTATAATTTCAGATACATATGTGTGTGTATATATATATTATATAAATATATGCATACAATACATATATACATGCAATGAATAATATAAGAATATTACACAATAAATAATACATACATATGTATTATTCATTGTGGTATATTTGTAATAAGCATAGCCTAATTTGGTAGATTTCATTCCCTAATAATTCCCCATGCCCTTCCCTCCTTTCTTCCTCTTAATTCCCTTCCTCTACTCTATTGAAAATTCCTTTCTATTTTCCTGAAATTTCCCCACCACCACCACTCTTCTTTTCTTTTTTCTTTCTTTTTTCATAATCCTGTACCCTCCCTCTCTCTAGCTTCTGCATACAATAGAAGACAATTGACTCTTGACTTTCTGAGTCTGTCTTATTTCACATAACATGGTGTTTTCCCAGCCCATCCATTGACCAGCAAAGGACATAATTTAATTCTTCTTTATAGCTTAGTAAAATTCCATTATGCATGTTATTACATGTTTTTGATATTGAGCTCTAGCCCATGTCCCGCATGGGTTACGGAACCAGGGTCACTAGGGTGAATTGGGCTGGCATGACAAACCACACATTCACTGAAAATACCTTTTTCAGGGTGTTCAAAGACGGCTCCTCCACCTCAGCTGTAAGCACCCACGAGGGGGGCAAGAGTAAAACAAGAGAGGCAGGCAAGAGACAGCGAGCATGCCTGGAACCCTGTTTTTTGGGGGGGAGAGCTGTTCAATAGAACATTCCATCCAAATAAGGTAAAAGCATAGTGTTACAAGAGAACAGGAGGGCAGCCCACTCCCAGAGCTACACTCCCCTGCCGAGCAATGGTGAGGTCCACCTGAAGTCCACCTGCTTTCACGCTGAGCAGAAGCCAGTTCCACACCTTCATTACTCAAGGCTAAGGGTACATGCTCAGCTCCTACGTAGCAGCCTCCAACATTCAGCCATTGGTGGGCACCTCGGCTAATCCTTTCTCATTCTTAAAAGCATGAAAACTCATATTCATAGGTTCGGACCACTGAATAGATTTCAAATATTATATCATTAGGCAAACCACAGTGAAGTGACTTTCTCTGGAAAAGTTGAGTGTGGAGCTTTAGTGGGGAATTTTTCATGAATTCTTAATTTCTGAAGAATTGAAACTTTGGTGGCCCTGGGCTCACATGCAGATGTTGACAGAAGACATCTGGAAGAACCTTAGAAAGGCATGGGATCCACTGGTTTTCAAACCTGGCTGCACATAGGAATCATCTGGGGACGTTTGGAAAATGTGGATACCAGGTCCCACCATGGAGATTCCAATGTAACTGGTGTAAGGTATGGCCTGACAGATGCCCCACAGGATGTTCTGAGATGCAGCAAAGATTGAGGACCAGTCATCTGCTTCACTCCCTGACATTTCAGATGGGAGAACTGAAGCACAGAGGTTCTGGGTGGGCCCTTTGAAGTGAGAATAATCATACCCCACTATTACTAACAGAGGGGACCAAGACTTTGACATTCTCCACCCAGACAACAGATCAACAGGATATACTTCCTATTCATAGGCAATCTCTGACCCCCAAAACTGCTCTGGGATGGGTGTAGGCCTGGACTTGGTTCATGGTTGTCCAGAGGATGCTGGAGCAATGTGATGCAGAACGACCTGCAGGGCCCTAACAAGGTGGGTTTGGTAAATCGGAATCCTGCCTGCTGCACTTTTCTGTATCTCCGTTTATCTAGAAGCATCAAGACATCCTCATGTCAGGGTCTTGGTGGCAGATTGACATTTACCAAGTTTTTTCTTAGCCCTCTTCCGTTTGCATGAACTTGGACAAACTGATCTCCTCTGCTTCAGTCTTCTGTAGAATGTGGATGATATTATGCATCCACAGAGTTGCTGGAAGCTCAAAGATCAGGTTATCTGAAAGGCCAGGGGGTCAGGGCCATGCCTCTGGCCTGCTTTATGAACTTGAGGGAATGAAGCCTGGGTCTTCAGTGCTCCCACCCCTGTCTTGTGTTTTCTGCTTTCACCATAGCAACAGCTCTCTGTTCCCATGTGCTCTTCCTGGCTGTCTTCCCTCTCAAAGCCCACATGCAGGAAAGGACCTGTAGTAAAATCATTTACTATAGAACACAGAGGTTCCTGCTGAAGTCAACATATTATATAACTGAAGATTTTTCCATTTTAAGCTTTGCCACTACTTGTAGAAAGAAAAGCTCTGCTGTGCCTGAAGGCATCCCAGGCCTCAGAGAAACAAGGGTGGTCCCAAAGGCTAGCCCTCCATGTGGCTGAATGAGGAAGGCCAGGCCCTGCATTGGTTCTATAAGGAAACTTGTTTGATGAGGCATCATGGAGTGTTTGCAGACACCTGGGGGACTCTGGGCACCCAGTTGTTTCCATGAGAGGAAAGGTCTGTCTCCCAGCCCAGGGTGATACAGTGCTTTATGTCACAGGCTGCTATAACAAATTACTACCAGCTGGGATACTTAACACAACATAAATTTACTTTCCTATGGTTCTGGAGACTACAATTCTGAAATCAAGATATCAATAGGGTCCATACTCCTTCTAGAACATTAGGAAAGAATCTTTCCTTGCTTCAGTCTACTGTGGCCTCATCACTACAATCTCTGTCCCCATCTTCATGTGGCTTATTCTGTGTGTCTGTCTGTCTCTCCGTGTGCATGTCTCAAATTCCTTCTGCCCCAGATGATCCAGGATAAATTCCTCAAGATCTTTGAGTTAACTGCATTTGCTCTCACACCTAATGTAATTTTCATTCTTTTGCCATAAAAAGTAAGACAAAGGTCTGAGGAATTAGGACACAGACATATCTTTACAGCCAATATT